AGAAATGTCGCTCTACAGAAGAATGCTGAGAATGAACAGAATATATGAGGAACGAAGAAATTTTAGAAAAAATGGAAACAAAAAGGACACGTTTTTTTTACAGTGTGCTTTACCCTGTACAAGACCCTGGAGCCACGCGAGGTAGAAATTTGCAGTTTATGCGGATAGGAGGGGAAAATAACGGTTATCTCTAGACTTGAACAGGTCAAGGTTTCGGTTCCACAGAGTAGTGGTATGCAGAAAGAAGCTGTTTGAGTAGAACACAGAAGGACGAGAGCGGTTCGCCACAATGTGGGTGGCATGGCGAGTCCTTGCGAATGGGATTAAAGAAAATGGTAAAATATAATCGCGTATCTTATAATAGCATGTGCTTTCAGGATGTAGTCAAAACATTAGAAAGAGACAGGTGAAATTTGTAGTTTTCTAATTTTCTTATTTCTTGCATAAGGATTAAAAGAGGGCTAGGAAAATTTAACACTCACAAGAGGGACAAAGAAAAACGACACATAACAAAACTAGCAAGTTTGAGTGTATGGATGGCAGAATAGGGTTTAGGAGAGATAACAAAGAGGAAATTTATTAAGAACTACAAAGGATAGTATGTTGTGGAGGGCCACGATCGCCAATGTCCTAAAGGGGTACACTATATAAAAGTATTTTTTCTATGGCAGTAGCAGTGTACACAATGGGTCAGAAATAAAACTGTTACTATCTTTCATGATGACACAAGGCTATATATATATATATATATATATATATATATATATATATATATATATATATATATATTAAGAATAACACAGGAAATAATTTTGGAACTCATTTACTTTATTTTGCCACAACCACCATATTCACCTAAACTGGCAAAACCGCTATTACTTCACTCGATTGCTGCAAAATTCTTTGATTTGGGAAAACTTTATTATATATGTATATATATATATATATATATATATATATATATATATATATAAATTTTGGGGACAAAAAATTGACGGTTGCTCGCCTTTTTCAAAGGAAATTTTCTTGCTCGCTCCGGCTTCGATCCTGCTGGACTTTCTCTTCTTGAAGGGTCGTAACATATATTAAATAACAATAATAATAATAATAATAATAGAAGATGAAGAAGAAGAAGAAGAAGAAGAAGAAGAAGAAGAAAAGCCATTATAAGATGAATTGAGTCTTTTCTAAAGGCTTTTGGGTGTTCAGCCGGATACTAAAAGTGTATACCTAATTCCTTGAAATTTATTTCGTCTACCGACTTTCGTACGCAAGAAAACTTAATAAAAGAATTGTATCCTGCGGATAGATTCGAACCTGCCCCACCCTATCAGGAAGCACCACCGCCTGATCCGGCGTGCATTGACCACTCAGTTACGAAGAGTTTAACAATCAATTGCGCTTTAGATGCTCCAAGGAGTATCATATTGTTAAAATGATCAAATTCAAGAACATAACCTAACATTTATTTCCATTTTTCTTTATTTTTATGATCAAAAATGAGATTTTTAATTTTTATAGACAATTAAAACGAAAATAAGCATAAAACTACCCTTTAAAAATTATTTTTATTTTCTTGTTTTTAACAGATTTTTTAATCACTTCACTTCAAGCGAGGCAATAAATCTGCTAAGACACAGGTTTTACTGAGTGTGAAAGAAAAAAAATATTATTAAGGAACGAAAACGATAAAAGAAAAAGAATTAAGAAGACAGATGATAACGATTGACATTGCATTTAAATGTCTTGAAAATTAAAATTGATTGGAAAGCAAAAAACTAGAAGTGCGAAAAAAGAAAATGTTAGTCTAAAAAATAACGGTTTCATCTAGCTATATCAACTGTAAAATGATGAGACATAGCCACCAATCTTGTACTGAGCTTAAATTCGAAAAGTCTGGGTATTATATAGGAAATTTCATTAGAACAATTACTATGAAAGTATTTATAGAAAATTCACAGAGAACTACATTACGGCGGTAGGAAAATGATTGAAGTCGAGATGCCAGTTAAGGACCAATAACATTGCAGATTCTTCTTTGTATTTTATCAAGGATCTCTAAATATATATCAGAAGTACATACAGGAGAACATATTACAACAATATTCAAAGCATGGTCAAATGGTAGACTTATAATTATGTAAGATAGATTCTGACAAGAAAATTGGTCTACCCCGGCACCATGAACCAACTTCCCAAATAACAGCTCTAGCAATTAATTCAATATAGTCTTTTCATTATGTGTCAGTGGAAAACGTTAAACCGAGAAGACACACCGAGCCACTCTCCTGGAGGTTAGCATCAGCCATACTGATGGAAGGTAGAAAGGATTCACTCAGACGATTAATAGTGAGCAGTTTCGTTTTGCAAATTTAGTGTGGACGTTCATGCAAGTTTTTAAATGTTGTTTAAATGCTGATGAAAATAAAACTGAATAAAAATTTTACTAGTTTTTTTTTAATTTGTATTTTTTTTTTTACACCGTCAAATTGTACCTTATGACATAGATTCTTTTTCTAATAGAATTACGTCTTTTTTGTCTATTTTATTTTATATTTTTAATAGACAAAAGTTTTAACAAAACAACACGTAGTCTGTCTCATTTTTCGGTTTCTTTCTCCCAGAGGCTCTCAGAGAATAGGTGGTGGTATCCTAGCGGTTACTAAGACGGTCAAAGGTATCGACAAACTCCGGATTTGGCATTCTCGTTTGTTTTTTGTTTTGTTTTTTTGGGGGTTGGGGTAAGCTATTTTGCCGGTCCCGAAAAAATAGACAAACATGCTTTTTAAGCTTATTTTACCGGTCTCTTTAAAATGGACCCAGGCTATTTTGCCGGTAAATATTTTATTTTTATGAAGATAAGTAATGTGAAAAATAACAAATCACAAATTTAACACAGTTTATTCATTTTCACCATCAATTGTAAAGACAATTTAAAATCTTTTCTACCATCAGTTATTAAAACACAAATTAAAATCATTCATTCATCAGGAATTATTAAAAGAAATATAGAAGACTCTGAACGTTTTAAGCACTTCAAGCATAGAAGTCCCTGTAAATCCCAAACTTGCCCTTGGGCAGGATTCTCTTGCCAATACACTTCAGGAGCACCTTCAATAACCCTAATTTCAATTTCAAACATTTTCTTGAATTTCATTGATTGTTAAATAAAAAAGAAATTTCAAGAAATTTCCATAAAACAGTCAAAATTTGTGCAAAAGTAGGCTCAACCGACATAAAAAAAAAATCTTTCTCAAATTCATCCCTAATTTAAATGTTTCAAGAAATCCTATTGGCTAAAAAATAAAAAAAGATACAACATTCGACCATGTATTTCTCAGAAAAATGTGCAACAGCTACCAAGCCTCGTTGAGCCGATTTCGTTGTTAAGAAAACTATAAATAGAAATAGTAAACGAATTTTCGTCGTATTTGAGACTCACACACGCGAAAGATACACATGGGAATTATGTGCCGCCAAAGAAACAAACTTCCTTTATGAGAGATTAGAAAAATTTACACAACAAAATTTTCACTCAATAACTTTCATAGAAAAATCTTTTGTCTAAGTTAAATTCAACCTTTTTAATCAAAGGCAGACAACTTTTAGACATTGAACATTTCCAAAACAGTAAAGAACAGTAAAGAACAGTAAAGAACTTTTTCACACATCATTACAAAGAAAGAAATTGTAAATTGTGTATATAAAATTTAATCTGTTGTTTCAAACATGTATTTTTGTCTTGATTGAATATCGTTACCATTTGTTATAATTTATGTTTGTGGATATTGCATGTTTTATTTGCAGCACAATTTTAAATATGCACGTAGATCCACTACACATCCACTGAAGACAACAGTCACAGAGCACAGAATCCATGTTGTTCAAGTCCTGCCTATGCAGTTCCCACAACCGCTGCGCTGGTGATCTCAAGGCTCCATAAAGAAGCTGCAATGCTTTACAACTATCTGGATCAAAATATCTTCGGATCTTCTGGATTGACACATTTTCATCCAAACGTGCTGTTGATAATGCAGAAGGTTTTTGTTCCACAGCATCTTCAGAGAGAATTTTCTCCGCCCACTGCACGAATGACATCTTTATCAATGACAAAGTATCCATTTGTATATCCCTGTCACTGGATGATATCTTAATGAATGCTGTTGGCTTATCAAGTTTTGATTTATATATATATAACATATTCTTAGTTCTAAAATACTATTTATATTTACTATTTAATAGCTTTGGTGTCTATTTTACCGAGATAGGCAAACTAGCCTATACATTTTTTTTTTTTTTTAATTTCACAATCACGCAATTGAATATACGTTTATAACTAGAAAGTGTTCTGAAAAATGATTCCTATGCAAATATCTTAATAAGATTGCATGAAATCTTGCAAGAAAAATGTCTTGAGAACTTATTAGCTTTCTACTCTGAAGTTTCTTAATAATTGTGGATATTTCTATCAATATGCAATAAAGCAGGGTATTTTTAATAAAAGTAGTGTCGAGAAATCATTTAAATGGTCAAAAAGTGCAAAATTAACAAAAAGGATGGCCTTAATAAGTGCATCGTGGAGTTGGAAAATTTTTTCAGAAAATTAAACGTCTCCTCGTTTATTTGGCACAGAGAGAAAGATAGACAAAGAAGAGAGCAAGGGAGAGAGAGGGCGAAAGAAAGAAAGACAGTGATATATATATATATATATATATATATATATATATATATATATATATATATATATATATTGTAAACAGGACAAAATGCTATTAGATATTAAAATGTCAGCCTTTAGAAAGAGTTTGTCAGACTAAGCAGATGGGAATTTCTGAAAAAAAAATCGTTACTATTGTTTTTTATGCAAGGCGTAATTTTTATGTGTTCTTTATTTTCGTTTTATTCTTTTCAGTTTATTGTTTTGTTTTTATTTCGAAGCTCAGAGATATTGCTCCGATCAGTTTGGTCAATGAGACAAATTTTATTTATTTTTTTCTTTACTAGAAAAAATGCAAACGAGAAGGAAGGCGAAGTATAAAAAAAGAAAAAGAAAAGAAAAGAGATGAAAAGAGGAAGAAAAGAAGAAAACTTTCTTTAAGAAAAAAAAAAGATAATCATTAATGTACGAAAAAGGATCAAAGTGGGGTGGAAAGAAAAATAAAGGAAAGAAAAAAATAAAAAGAAGTAACTTATAATAAATCGAAAGAAAGAACGAAAAAAATAATTATTAATTGACAAAAAGAAAATGATAAGGAACGGTAAAACTCTTATAGAAAAAAAAAGAAAAGAATAAAAAGATACAAGGAATTAGAATAAATAGGAAGAAGAGAGCTAGAAAGAAAGAAAGAAAGAAAGAAAGAAAGAAAGAAAGATTAATGAATGATAGGAAAATTAAAATGAAAAGAAAAAAGAATTTCAATAAATAGCAGGAAAGAAAGAACGAAAGGAAAAAAGAAGGAAAGAATTAATAACGAAAGAGGAAAATTAAAATGTAATGATAAAGAAATACAATATATAGATTGAAGAAAGAAAGAAAGAAAGAAAGAAAGAAAGAAATGGAATAGAATTATAGAAGGCTTAAAGAAAGAAAGATATTCGCAAAGGAAGTATAGAAAGTGTAAAGAAAGAAAGAAAGAAAGAAAGAAAGAAAGAAAGAAAGAAAGAAAGAAAGAAAGAAAGAAATGGAATAGAATTATAGAAGGCTTAAAGAAAGAAAGATATACGCAAAGGAAGTATAGAAAGTGTAAAGAAAGAAAAAAGAAAGAAAGAAATGGAATAGAATTATAGAAGGTTTAAAGAAAGAAAGATATACACAAAGGAAGTATAGAAAGTGTAAAGAAAGAAAGAACGAACGAAAGAAAAAAAGAAAAAAAGAAATGGAATAGAATTATAGAAGGTTTAAAGAAAGAAAGATATACGCAAAGGAAGTATAGAAAGCGTAAAGAAAGAAAGAAAGAAAGAAAGAGAGAAAGAAAGAAAGAAAGTAGATAAATATGGAATAAAACAGAGTAGCATAAATAGATCAAAGAGTTCTAGAAATAAAAACAAAAGAAGAGAATTATAATCGACTGAAGAAAGAAAAAAGAAAGAAAGAAAGAAAGAAAGAAAGAAAGAAAATTTCGAATAAATAGAAAAGTGCTAGTCATAAAGAACAAAACTAAGAAAGAACTAGAAAAAGAAAGAATGAAAGAGAGAAAAGATAGAATAAAAATAAATAAAGAAGTAGAATAAATAGACAGAAGAGAGCTAGGAGGAACAGAAAGAAAGAGAGAATGTGAAAACGACCGAAAACGAGAAAGAAAGAAAAAAGAAAGAAAGAACATTAGACTAAAGAGAAATAAGGAATTAGAATTGATATAATAAAATAGACCGAGAAAAAAAGAACGACAGAAGGAAAGAAAAATGCACAATAAAATGAAGCAAAAATTTTGAATAAGTCGAAATAAGAAGTCAATAAAGATAGTTAAAAAGAAAGAAAGAAAAAAGAAAGAATGAATGAAAGAAAGAAAGAAAAGAGAAAGAAAAAGGAAAGAAAAAGAAAGACAGGTGTAATTTAAACAGACGAAAAAGAAGAAACTAGAAATAAAAAAGAAAGCAAAAATTATATATTGATTGATATCCACGCATATCGTAATTAAAAATATCCCAAAATTAATGAGACAACAATAATTAATAAAATGAAGATGGCATGGAGAAGAGAAACCGATTCAAAATCATAATTGACGATAACCTATACTCCATATTTTTCTTTATAAAATATAACATGGAATCGATTTTTAAAAACTTATATAATTTTATTTATTCTTACAAGAAACATTGTCACGAATACAATCAGAATAAACATCGAAATATCTGTTATTTAAGAATTTTTTTTAATACAAATAATATTGAAAGTAATGAAAATATATTTTTTTTAAATTTGGAATTATTAAATTTTAGATAAGAAGAAAAAATCTTGCAATAAAAATATCTAAGGAAATTACAAGCATTAAAACAATGAAAAAATAAACTGAAATTTTTAAAAAGTCAAGTCAGAAAATTACAAAAAGAAAAAGTACAAAAAAGAAAAATTAGAACAATAAACTTAAAAAGTAAACAAACAGGTCCAGTAATAAGAAGAGGAATGAAAAAAGAAAGGGTTGGTAAGTGCGTTCAGATACAGAAGAAAACGATAGTAGAATTTTTTTTTCTAAAAAGGTCCGCGAAATGGAATGTGGTTGGGACAAATGAATGAAAGAAAGGAACAATATCAGAAAGAACGAAAATTAGAAATGAATAATAAAAGGAAAAAAAAAAAAGAACGAATTAACAAAAAAGAAAAAGTAGCATGGAAAAAATATGATAGAAAAAGAAAAGAAAGAATGGTCGAAAAAATAAGTAAAAAAGACGAAAGAGCAAAACGAAGATAGTGTAAAAAAAAAAGAAGTTAAGTAGAAAAATGAAAGGCGTAAGAAAGAAAAGGGGAGAAGAACGAAAAGAATTAAATGTGAGTAGAAAGTTCGGAACAAAGAAAGAAAGAACCAAAGAAATACAAGAAAAACAGGAATAAAGGATTAAAAGAAAAAAAAAACACGAATAAAGGAATAAAAGAAGAAAATTTAATATAATATTACAAGAAACATTAACGAAAAAGACCAGAACGGCTTCCTGCATCTGCTGTTATAGGGACCTGCTATAACAATACATTCTTTTCACTGCCGCTTCAAGTCGACGGTTGTAAAGCAATTAAGGAAATGTAAAAAGACGGAGATGAGTTTAGCTATTATCGGTGGGGAAAGATAATATTATGGTATAGTGCTGGCCTGTTTATTCGACTGGACAGTCACTTCCGAAGATAATTGAGTAATGAAAGGGAAAAGAAACTGCTTTAAAGAAGAGAGAAAGAACGAAGAGGGGCTAGAAATTGAGTGTGAGGGTATTGGATGGAGAAACAAGACAGGAGAAATCGAGGAGGGAAGGGATAAGAAAGAGAATAAAAAAGAAAAACAAGTAAAGAAAGAGAGAGAAGGAAGGAAGGAAGGAGGAAGGAGATAAAGGATAGGAAGGAAAAGAAAAAGTTAGAAGAAAAGGAAGGAAGGAGGAAAGGAAAGAAGGAAGGGCGGACGGAAGGACGGAAAGAAAAGAAAGAATGGAAGGAAACAAAGAAAGAATGGAAAGAAGGAGAGGAAGAAAAGAAAGAACGGAAGGAAGGAAGGAAGGAAGGAAGGAAGGAAGGAATGGATGGAAGGAAGGAGAGAAAGTATGGATGGATGGATGGATGGATGGATGGAAAAGAAAGAAGGAAAGAAAGAAAAAGAAAGAAAGAAAGAAAGAAAGAAAGAAAGAAAGAAAGAAGGGAGAGGAGCGAAAGTCATGAAAGAAAGAAACAAAGAAACAAAGAACAGAAGGAGAAGGAGAGTAAAGATGAAAAAATGGATGGATGTAATGAAGGAAGGAAAAGAAAGAAAGAATAAAAGAAGAAAGGAAAAGAAAGAAATATTGATTAACAAGGAAAATAAAAAAAGAAAGAATTTTCTAGCTAAGTAAAAAAGAGAAAGAAAGAAATGGTATGACATTACAAAAAAAGAAAAAAAGTGTCGATTAAAATGAAATGAATTTTTTGTTAAAACAAGAAAGATGGAAAGATACGAAAAGATATTTAACTAGAGAGTTGTTATTTCTTGGGCGCTGCAAGAAATAACAAAAGGATGAAAGAAAAGGCAAAGAAATGAAGGACCAAATGAAAAGAAGAAAGTGAAAAACGAATAAAATGGATACTAAAGATTATACAAGGATACAGAGATCTTATTCTGAATATTTCATGGAACAATGGTTTACTATGAGGTTGAGCTCATATATATATATATATATATATATATATATATATATATATATATATATATATATATAGGATACTGATGTCAACACCCAGAGGCGAAAGTCTGTTTCATGCTTAAACACAATGATATGGCTTGATGTTTGCGTTTAGGCATAAAACAGACTGACGCCTCTGTGTTTTGACTTCAATGTACACATTTATATTTAGATATACTATATCCCTGATATTGAGAACATTAAGCCATAAATATACCATATCCTAAAAATACATTTTATCACACACACACTCGCAAACACACACAAACACACACACATTTTATATATATATAATTAACGTGGAGGAAATTATCAAGTAACTGAGCGGTGTTGGTTCAGTCATGCCGACTTCGAAGTTTCGTGAGCGCATTGTATTAATGCTTTCACTCTTCCGGGCTGCTGTCTTCTTCGCAGAGGAGACAACATCCCGGATGAGAAGACAACAACCCTGAAGAGTGAAAGTATTACTGCAATGCGCTCACGAAACTTCGAAGTCGGCATGACTGGACCAACACCACTCAGTTAATTGATAATTTTCTCTACATTGATTCCATTAACGCTTTATCTTTAACTTTTGATATCGAGCACTTTATGACAAAAAAACTGCCTGCCTAAAATGCTTTTTCACCAGTAAGCTACGGAAAAAGTACCAACAATTTTGCACCCCAAAACTCTTACAACATAATACTACACACACACACACACACACATATATATATATATATATATAACTATGAACCTAAAGAGCCAGGCAAAAACCTACCTAGGTTTCACCTACGCAGATCGCATAGGTGAAACCTAGGTAGGTTTGCCTGGCTCTTTAGGTTCATAGTTAGATTTGCTCTACTTAGTGTATTGATTACTTTGCTTAATTACTTTTGTTTTACTCGTGTCGGAGGTTTTTTTCTTTGGCCTCTGAGCTTGGATTCTGGCCGATTGTTTTCGTCTGAATTACATGTTCTTAGTTTTTTCTTTTTTTCTTCCTTATTTTTCCTTGGGTATTGGTTTGTTCATTTACAAGCCAATACACCTAAGGTTTTTCCAGACAGGTATAATTACTTATATTTATAAGATTATTATCATTATTATATATATATATATATATATATATATATATATATATATATATATAGGCACTTTTATCTTATTTTCTACCTAAATACCAGTCGTACTAAGATTTCTCTTAATAATAATTTTTAAATAATACATTAGAAGTTGTTATTTTATTTATGGTAATTGGAGTTTTGGCGATTGCCTTAGTCGGTTTCATTTTTAAAAATGCCGCTTTTCTCCCGCTCATTTTTGTGCAGGTCGATAACCTATCAATACTTATTTGATCTTAAGGTACCCTCTTTTTAATATAACTATGACCCTTCCTTTTTCCTATAATTGTGTATATTTCATTACTCATTCAACATTTGTATATATTTTAATTTAAAAAAGATAAAAAATAATTGTACATAAACATATCAAGGGCGTGTTATTATGTCCCCTGTGAAAACGCGGTATTTTAGTGCATGTTCGAATGGCGAAGAATTAGTTCTTTTGATGCTTGTGTAAATTGCGAGAATAGATGGGTTGTGAATCGTGGTAGCTAGGAGTAGGATAGTTACCGACTTCACTTCGGCCTTGTACTACAATTAATGTATATCACTCTTCCCAGTCAACTTTAATCTTCAAAAGTTGAAATGCAATGCCAATCGCTATCTATTGTCCTCCTGATTAGTCTTTGTTCCCGGTCCTTACTAATGTAATGTTTTCTAATTCTTCCTCGCCCAATAACCCCTTGTGCCTCAATAGCTTTGCTACCTTGCCGGGGATGAACTTGCTTAAGAATATAATTATTAAATAAAATCGCTTTTCTAACATTGGTCGGGGACTGTCCAAATTAATATTCGGCCAAGTCTTCGGGACCGAAGGCAGTACCACTCCTTCGGAAGGTGGCAGGATTCATTGCTCGGAGCCTAAGGAGTCCCCAAAAATGGAAGTGCCGAGGAGCGTTCGGCAATTTTTATGCGGTATTGCCATTAAACCCACTTTAAACCTTGACCTTATGTCATTTCCGGTGCGTACTGGTAAATACAGTTATTTGTGTCTCTGTCTACGGACAGAGCCAAAATCAGTTGTTTCTCTGTCTGCAGTCACAGTTAAATTCATTTTTGTTACCCTGACTGCGGACAGAGCGCAACATATTATTGAGAGGTGCTCGGTCTCGGGGAAGAGCTGCCTGCAGTAGTATCTCTCTCATTGCACTGAAGAAGTGGGGATCGGTAGTAATATCGATGCCAGCGCAAGCACCGGTTTTGGATGCTGGGCTATTTTGGAACCTGGCCCGAGTGCTCGAGCTCCGCGCATTAAACTGACCTTGTGTCAACTACTGCCGAAAATAACATGTTCATCATTAATTAATCATAGCTAAGAATCAGGAGCTAATGAAGGATTGAAATAAAGTTCATATATATATATATATATATATATATATATATATATATTCCAGGACAATTTTCCAACTTATTCTTGATCTTCGCCCTCTCTAACCTTCGAATTTCTATCCTGGAGTAACAAGGCACTTCACAGGTTTCATGTACGATTTCATTTTGGAGTCTTTTTTCACTGCTCTTTCGACAGTCATAGCTGAAACTCTTTTCTCACGTACCAAACTTCTTATGGATTGAGTTGTATCTAATTAATCTCTTTACCTCTAAGTTTAAATGATGATTCCTATTCTTGTTGTGGATCTACTTAGAGGACACATGGCACAGTGGATCTATCCAACGCATTTATCCATTGTGGATCCACTTTGAGGACACATGGCACAGTGGATAAAGGCATTGGTTAGATCCAGTGACAGGACCCAAAGAGTATGAGTTCAATACCCGGTTAAGGCA